GAGGATGTTTTCTGGGTATGATATGGGGAATTGTATATTGTTATTGAGAAAGACAAGGTGTAGAATTGTGTGCTTTTGTGTATGAAAGACAAATGTGAAGAATTTATGTGTTATACATACAAAGAATACTAAGAAAATACAGAAAAAAATAATAAAAACTTTCCATAGGTATCTAAAATATACAAAGAACACCTACAACTCAATAGAACAAAAATAAATAACCCAACTTAAAAATAGGCAAAAGACTTGAATAGATATTTCTCCTCAGAAGATATTCAGAAGGCTAACAGGTTTATGAAAATATCAGTAGTCATTATGGAAATGCAGATTCAAACCACAGTGAAATACCACCCCATGACTGTTAGAATGGCCATCATCAGAAAATAAGAAATGACAAATACTGGCATGAATGTGAACAAAAAGGTAGCCTTGTGCATTGTTGGTGGGATTGTAAACTGGTACAACCACTATGGAAAACAGTCTGCGGTTTCCTCAAAAAATTTAAAATAGAACAACTGTATGATCTGGCAATCCCACTTCTGGGAATATATCCAAAGGGAACAACAACACTAACTCAAAAAGATATCTGCATCCTCATTTTGGCATTATTTAGGATAGTCAAGATGTGGGAACAACCTAAGTGTCTATTGATGAGTGAGTAAATAAAGAAGTTGTGGTATATATATAATAATGGAATAATATTCATCCATAAAAACTAAAAAATTCCTACCATTTGTGACAACATGGATGGAACCTGAAGGCATTATGCAAAATGAAATGTCATACCAAGAAAGACAAATACCGTATAATCATACATGTAGAATTTAAAATGAAAAAAAACAAAGAAACAAAACACCGAAGCTATAGAAAAGGAGATCAGACTTGTGTTTACCAGAGGTGGAAGGTGGTCAAGTTACAGACTTCCAGTTACAAAATAAGTACTAAGGATGTAATGAACATGATAACTACAGTTAGCACCACTGTGTGGTATAAAAGAAAGTTATTGAGAGTAAATCCTAAGAGTTCTCATCACAAGGAAAAATTTTCCCCTCTATCTTCTTTCCTTTCTTTTCTTTTTATTGTATCTATATGAGATGTATATTAGCTAAAGCCATGGCAGCCACCATCTCACGATAAATCATACTGTGTGCCTCAAACTTACACAGTCACATATGTCAATTATATCTCAACAACACTGGGGAAAATTTTTTTGTAGCGAAGTGTGTGGGAACTGAGCATGTGTGCAACAAAGGCTAAGGAAGCCTTTTTACAATGTATTTCACATATGGTTTTTGAACCATGTGAATGTATCACCTATGCAAAAATTAAATTGTAAAAAAGAATATATGATGTGAACAGTCCTATGGTTTGCAAACTTTAAACTGAGTGTTCACAAACTAGAAACAGAATAAAGAAAAGTAAAACATTTTCATGAATCTCACATTCCAAATTTGACAAGATATTTCCATTTTAAATTTTTTCCATAACTTAAAACTGACTCAAAATATTTCTTTTAGGTGAAATTTTATATTGTTGATATCAGTTCAAAAATGAATTTTAAAAACTTGAGCAAGATCCATCCATTTACTCATAAACTAGGAGAGAGTGAAATGCACATATAAAACTCAAGCAGGAAAAAAAAGTCAGGGATCTAGTTTTTCCTTTAGAAAGGAAAAATAAAATCCTCTCAAACTTTTAAACCTAACAAGGTTATAACATCATGAGAAAAGAATATAATTTTAGCCAAGCATGCCAGAGAAAGAGGAAAAGTCTGTTTATACTTAAACTAAAAGGTGGTAGAGTCCTGAGCCCACAGTGAACATTCCCATCCAGCAACATTTTAATAGAAAAAGCTACAGAGAACATAGTTGGGGCTGTTAGTTGTAGCATGGTTGCCCATTAATAAAACTCCAGTGAGGAACTGCATTTTCTACTGATTCAGTTTCTGATCTGTTCCTTGTCTCAAGTTTGTGCTACAAAGCATACTGCAGACAACCCACATAGAATCAGAGTGAATCAAGCTAAAAGATTATGCAATATGGGATATATACAGTTCTCTCACTAATACACATTTTGGGGAGCCTGTGTGGCATAGTCGTTTGAGCATCCAACTCTTGGTTTCCACTTAGGTCCTGATCTCATTATCCTGAGATCAAGCCCCAAGTCTGGCTCCGTGCTCAGCATGAAGTCTGCTTGAAGATTCTCTTTCTGTTTTCCTCTGCCCCTCCTGCTCCTGTTCTCTCTCTCAATCCATCTCTCTCAAATAAATATATAAATAAATCTTCAAACAAACAAACTAACTAACAAAAAACCAGTATACATTTTTGGATTTAGTTTTTCTAGAGCCTGACCGAGAACAAAGCTGTCGAGTATTAGATTATTTGACCTCTGTCCAGGTCCATAGGCTTAGATTTATTCCATTGTATATAACACGAATCTTAGCAAATAACCATAAGATACTTTTTAGTTCTATGAAATTGAATTGTTTCCCCCTAATTAAGAATGATAATAATAGGTAACATTTGGGTAGGATTAACTTGCACCAGTTATCGTGCATTTGCTTTCCAAATTCTGTCTCATTTAATTCACACACAACCTTGAAATAGTTCTATTATTCTCTCCATTTAAAAAATTTTAAAAAAAGTAAATGAGATTTAGAAAGATTAAATAACTCTTTGAAGTCACAAGCATCAGCCGCTGTGAGTGAGAAACTCACCCTTCCTACTACTATATCAAATGTTGCCAACTTTATGCTAATTCTAGAAAACACTATACATACGTAATATACTAGTGTACATAGCATTTCAGTTTCCCAAGTATTTGGCATGCATGTCTTATTTTATCCTCACTATAGCACTATAATTTTGAAAATTGGTCTTATTCTACATTTATAGATACAGAAAATGAAACTCAGCTCACCTAGCTAGTAAGTTAGGGGTAGTTAGCAGTTATAAGGTACCATCTTAAGTCTTCCAATGAATTATGACTAGCATGCTCTTTCATTACTGTAAATATTTGAAGATAAATTTTATTTCTAACAGAACTTACTATTTAAAAGGTTTAATCTTTCACATTTTAATCACTTCACTAAATGTGGTTTTTAAAAGAGCAAATATTTCAGTTAGATAAGTGAAATGATAACTTTCTTAATTTTTAAAGCCATTATATATAGAAAGACATTAGACATAGAAAAACAGTTTTAAAGTGTCAATTATATTTCAACTTAAGGAAATAGTCATATAAGTGTATTTTTGTGCTTGATAAGTATAATTACATCTGGAATTATAATCAATTATCTAAGAATTTCTTTTTTCTCTGCATCTCTATTTAATACCATCTTAGTAATAAAATGATTTGGATTTTTAATCCATTCATTTTTAATTGCTTTTATCCAGTAGATATTTCATTTCTGAAGTTATCCCAAGAAAGTTTCAAAAGAAGCTGATCATAGGGAAAAAAGTATACAATAATAATTGAGCTCCCCTTAGAATGATATAGGAAAGCTCAGTTATCCAGCAATAATTTGTGTATTTGACATATATAAAGGATGATCTGGAGGGATGCTATGAGAGAGGGACAAATTGCCATTCATTAAACCAGTTTTTAATTGTTAACGTAGTTTGTTTCATTCTAATTCCTACAAATAGGAATCTAGATGAAACAAATTGCAAGTTGTGATTATAGTGTTTCCTAAAATTTTTAATTGCTTTACTATCATTTTATCAGTAATCTGGGGTCATAACACATCCCAACGTGAAAGGATAGCTGTGTAACCGGAAGTGGCTATGTCCAACAATCAGCTTATGTTCTCATAAATCCTGTGCATTACCCCCTCTTGCTGCCCTGAAAAATTCACTTGGTTAGTGAGAAGTGCTAACCGCAGTGGTTTCCTGAGAGACATAGAAGTTTGGTTGGGACTGACCTGGAGGGAGGAGCTTACATGGAACAGCTCAGTGTTCCCTGGAGCCTTCCTCCAAACCCCCAGTTGACACCTCCCCCAGGAAGCTGGTCCAAACTCACCTTTGCTAGAGACTTTCAGTTCTCCACCTCCAGACTCTTCAGTTTTACGTCTACACTCGTCACTTGTCAGTGTGTGTGTGTGTGTGTGATGTAATAGTATTTTGCCTGCCACAAGTAAAAATGAGCATAACTAAACAGGAAAAGAAGATGGAAGTTCCTATTTGTATCATAGACACTATAAATGTTAAGTCTAAAGTTTTTGACATTTATCTACTTTTTTTTCAACTGGACACATGCCATACAAGATACTTTTGCTTTTTTGTTTGTTTTTAATTGCAAGAGAAGAGACCACAATCACTGACTTGTTTATTTTTGGTAATGGTGGCAAAGTGGTGTCAGCGTCACTCGGCTCTGTCATCTGGCTCTCACTACTACCACCAGGCATACATTTGAGAAACAGCTTACATAAGTTATAAGTCTGTAGCTTGGAAAAGAAAAAAATATCTTGATGTTTTACATAAAAATACATATTTCTGGCATCTATTGAAAATCTTCAGTCCCAAATTCCCACATGTTAACAATCAGTCAAAGCCAAGTGTTGGTTGACTCTGTTCATTTACATTTTCAGTTCTGATGAGCTCTCCTGTCTACAGTAACCGAACCTACTATGTAGGTCTTCCTCACCAGCTAATCCAAACAACTTTTGTTTCATTTCCATATATACTCTTATTCTAAGATCATTAAAAAGCATATTTTCTATTTTAAAGTAATTTTTGGGTAGATTTTAACTTATCTTTGCATCTTAAAATGGAAACAAAGTCTTCAGACAATTGTGTTGCATTATATTGTTGGGTGTATCAGCTGCTATTCTTTTACACAAAATGTAATTATTAACCTATCATTAAAAAAACATTGCTATTACCATTGTCCACACAAATATTGAAAAAGTAAATATTTGCACGCTAAGGACATCTTGGATTATTTTTTTCCCAAAACATCTATCAAAATAATGCTTAAGACTTCCCTGGATCTTATTTTAGCACTGCATATGTCTTTGGAAGACAGCATAAAATGGCTTGGAGAAGTTATGGCTGAAACAGGACCATCACCTTCACAGAAAAATGAGGAATGGAATGTCTTTAATACAAAACAAGCCAATGCTGTCATCGATTACTTAAAAATCAGGTATGGATTTTCTTTCAGTAGCATGTATTTTTTCATTTCATTATCTTTTACAAAATGTCTATTAAATAAAAATGAATTCAGTTTTTAGATATTTACAGAATTTATGCTGTAATTAACCCAGCCAATAATGACATAATATTAAAATCTTTCATCCAACAAGTAAAGTTCAGGACATTGAGATTTTGGCTAGCCTCCCATTCTTAAAAAAAGGTTCGTATTTGATAAGTATAATTTCATCTTAAATTATAATAGATTATCCAGGAATTTCTTTTTTTCTCTGAATTTCTAATTAATATCACTTTATTAACAAAATTATTCTTTTAGATTAATCAGACTTAATTACAATAGACTATATTTTAGTAGTTGGCCTTGGCATCAAAATTTCACATTTTAGAATAACATTCATTTCCATTTAAACATTTATTTTAGATGTTTTGTATTAGAAATTAAAGAGATTTATGTGCAAGTTTCCTTAGGTTTATTATGTGCCCTGAAATATTTTGTAGTATTGACCAATTAAATTCATCAAGTTTTTCTTTATGCTTAGAAAATGACAGTGAATGGAGGGAAAGTGTTCTTATTACAGTGATTCTTCATTGGTGAACTAAGAAATCCTTTTATATAATCTGTCACAAGGTCTGCATTACAATCATGCACCTCTCCCAAGGGACATTTTTAGAGTTTACAAATATTTAAATAAGAGTTGGTAAAATCTTTCTTTTGCCTAACTAAAAGCTTGTACAGAATATCTCTTTTCCTCCATTACTGTATACTGCAGTGTTTTCCAATTTTAAATTTTAAAAATTCCAAAATAAAGCATGCTGCATGATGTCCTAGACATGCTCATCATTGGCTTGGCAAAGATCCTGGCTGTTGTCTGGAAGCTTTTTAAATAATAATATGTTTAATTTGATAATGCTTATATACTGGTTTCTGGCAAGAATTAATAATAGTATTGATATAATGTGTTTTTTATATAATAACACCTGATATAACCTAATTTCTTAGCATAAAACATATACCTCCTAATGTATGTCTGTCACTAAAAGCTACAGTACTCTTTATATCAATTAGAGTAAAGCAACATCCTTGTGTGGGAGGAAGGAAGGGAGTGGAAATTCAGAACTGGAGAATCTGTTCTCTGAGGTCTTTCTGCCCAACAGAATCAGTGGCTGAGGGGAATTAATCTGCACATTTATATAGCATCCTTCTTTCTCTTCTTTATCTATTTGAGACCACCAGGTCTCTCTTTGAAGAATACATTATTACATCTGAGCTCTAAATCTCAGAGGTTTATAATGGGCACTGGGACTGATAGTTAACCATAACAGCTAAACCCATGCAGATGTCCTAATGATACCTTCTAGATGGTGAAAGATGACACCTCTTTTCTCTTTCGTCTTGTCTCTCTGGACAAACACTTATCAGTGAATTCTTGACATTTCATTTCAGAAAATGGTTAAGTTAGGAAAGGATGTCAGTATTAGTCACCATTAAATGCTTACCAGGATAACTTTACTTACCAAAAATTTCTAGCCTCATTTCTAAAAGCAACAACAAAAAGTAGTATTTGAGAGATAGTCATGTAAAGTAAATCAGAACTATTTTTGATGCCATTAAATCTCCGTATTGTGATTTAAAGAAATTGTACATTTTAAGTGCATCTGTTACAAAAAAATAAAATATCAGTTAGTATATCTAGAATCGATACTGAAGTTGTGTAAAGACAAATTTCATTTTCTACAATTCCTATTTAGAATGACTCATAGGTCCACAAATATAAATTTAATGGCAGTTAAACCATATAATATTTTTCATTTTAATGACTACAAAGAAATTTTGTAAATATGAAGCTAACTCAATTATTGAAAGTATAAGCATGTTTCAATTTAATCTGATATTAAATTTACTCAACCAGTGAAACTCTCATCAACTTAGAGTAGTTTTTAGAACATGACCTATAGAACATGAAACTTAACTGGCAATAAAATTGAAATTTTATTTGATACTGTTAATAGAATCTAAATTACATATTCCATCATGTGTCTGTGATTTGAAAAAAACTAATACCAAAATTCCTGTCTAATGTTATTGTAGGTCTGACCAATCAACTCATGTAATATATACATTGATATGTTTTATGTAATATATACAAATATAAATGCTACTGCAGCTTGTCAATATAAGACATCATTTAGATATATGTGGTCCAAGTACACTTCTGTCATTGTGTATTCTACCCATTCATTGGGAATTAGGTAAAGGTAATGTGCACAGGCATTTCTCAATATAAGAAAATCAACACTGCCCCTCTGTGCACAACAGGGTATCCTACTTCCTGGCGCGGAGCCCAGATGTCTTGACCCATTATTTCTTCCTTTGATTTAGAACTAAGACAAGATGTTTAACAAAACAGTCTAGGGGTTTGAGTCAGCTGGAAGTCTTCCTTCTAAAGGAAGAGAGAGGAAATGTATTTCCATAGCAGAGGTGTCACTTTGTTCCCATAGGAAGTCGTTGAATAGTTCCTTGATAAAGTTAGAGAACCTCAACCAATATGGGGACCAGAGTGAGGCAATGGAGGCAACTTATCCTAGCCCTGAAAAGTGCCTCCTCCATAGGTGTCCTACTTCCCCCATCTCTCTTACACTAGTCCTGGCCTTGCCCCAACTTGTATCTTTGACCACTGCATCCAAGTCATGAATTTTATTTTCATTGCAAGAAGTAAATTTTCCTTTTGGCATGAGACAATCTAATTCCTATATGCAATGAGGAGAATAAGGCTGAAAGATTATAACATTGTAGGAAGGAAGATTTATGAATTAACTTATTTGTGTAACATGAGATGGAAGGAAAATTTTATACTAATTCACTGAAAGGAAGTCAAGTTATTTCCAAATACTCTACAGGCTTCAATTTTTCTACTCAAAATCAGTTATTGCCAGCCTAATATTTTTAACCTTAAAGCTCTCTCTAGGTAAGCAATGTAAGGGAAGGAGAATTTGAATTTATTTTGCTTCATTGAATCATCAAACTTCACTAATCTTGATGTATTTTCTAGCCAACAAATCAAGCTAATGTCAAAAGCTAAGTTAGTTTTCTGAGTGTTGAAGACTAATTTGAATATACGAGGGTTTTTTTTTCCAAAAAAATTTAAAAACCCATGACTGAAGTCTGCATACACATCACTTTTTAATGGATTGTGTTAGTAGTGAAATCAACTGCTGATAAAACTCAGAGAGACCCAGCTGCCTGAGGATTTCTTCATTGATTTCAAATGAATTGAAACTTTGATCCATTACAGCGTTCAGGAGAAGCCATTATTATACATGCTCTGTAGCTACATTTTGCAAATGTTAATTTCTCAGTTATATTAAAATCAATTTTCTTAAATAGCAAAAGGCACCAGAGTGAAAGAGAAACCACTAAGACAATTTTTTTGTTCTTGGGCATTTTGCTGTATTATGAGTCTATTAATTTTCCCAACCAGCAGGAAGAGAATTTGAAAAATCCAAATATTACCACAAACAGGATATTAGAAATCAGCCCTTCAGTAAATTTTTAACTCTCAATAATACTTCACTGAAATCTTTAAACTTACTAGAAAAACTTGTTTTAAGACTCCTATCTTTTAGCTCTTCACAATTCTTATACACTGACCACCTAATATTTGGGTAGAAACTGAAGAATTATCTTTCTTAAATTAATTCCTCTATTTGACCTGTGATCAAATATTCTACAAGAAAACCAGATACCTTCTAAATAGATTTCAGTTCACATTGCATCATTTTCAGGTGTTATCAGAGATTAATCTTGAAACAGTTTGAGAACATGAGAAGTAATTGATATGGAAGTAGATTATAGAATTCAATGCCATTCATTCCAGAGGAAATTGACTCTGGTTTGAAGCAAAACATGAAAAATAATGTGAAATTTAATGTTATTTAGGGGCAGTGCATTATTTGATTGTCAACCAAGTAAAGTCAAAATGTAGTCTAGTTGCTCCCTTATCCCAAACCTCTCCACACATCACAGATTAATTTACTGATCTTATATTATGTACTGTGTTATACTGTCAATGTCTCAAAAGAGTAAATCATTAGTTTCTCACCATTTCTGGACAATTCATTTGGAATAAAAGATGTAGCTAACTCCATATTAGTGTTTAATGTCTTTCGTTTGATCATTATGAACAACTTTCCTTTAATAAATACTCTTACATATTTGTTTTCTTTCCCAATATAAGCTTATCAGAGTTGCACATTTATTTTGTATTTCAGCTTATTTCAACACTACAAGCTATATGAGTTTCTATTCTACTCTACCAGGGAAGAAATTGTGATAGGAACTGAGGTAAGTAATTTATCTAGATGGAACCAATTAAGCTGAATCACTTAATGCATGCTGATCAGCATCTGGATCTTTAACTGCTTAAAGCAACTTCTTGTCAAGATTACTCAAGTGTTAATATAACCAACTAGTAGTTTGCAAAAAGAATAATTACATAAAGTGAGCTTTGGATTAAGAAAATAAGATGTCTTTGGGCATTAAAAGCATTGTTAATCACATATACTTTACGTATTTATGGGTTATTTGACAAAGCAAAATTGAATAGGTTATGTATGTCTTCATACAAAGAAAATTTAAGGACGTGAGATAAATTAATTGATAATCTCTTCTAATTTCACATTTTTTTCAGTCTACTCATTTTTTTGAGGTCTAATTCAAATCCCACTTCCTCAGTGAAGCAAATCTTCCTTAATTGCATCACATCTCAAAGGAAGGGTATAGACAATGTCTTTAATCACATTCTATTATTTTATTCTAGTTTATCTTTTTCTGCTGAATACTGGGTACTCTTACTACACCAATAAGCACATAATGATGCACTATGCTACACACTTTTTAAAATTATTTTTTGTGGATTAAAATAGTCAACACAATTCAACTGTAATTTCCTTGAAGGCAAGGATGAGGCACTGTTTTTCTACCAAAGCGTCAAATATAATGCACCATTAGTGGCCCCTCAGTTGATACTATGTAAGTGATTCAGTGACATTGAATACAATGGCATGTCTATAAAAAATTATCTACCTAAAGATACCTTGGAACAGCTTTACATATTAATTACAAACTCATAATCGCTATAAATAAATCCTGGGTAAAAAAACATCTTAAGGAGGCTAAAGATGCCATAAAAAGTGCTCTTTTTGTTGTCAACTACTGGAGAAGGTAATGTTGCCCAGAAGTACCAGACATAGGAGAGGCCCTGGTCACAAATAAAGAGTGAATATGGTATATTTACATGATCTTTTTAATTTTCTGGATATTAAGCGCCAGGTGGAATGTGCGAACTTTTTTGTCTGCCAGAGTGTTGTTTTTCTGAAGTTTATAAAGTGCTTATTTCATAAACACCTAAGTCACTGTTAATCATCCTCCATGTGGGTACTTTTTCTAATGCTGGCCTTTTAAGTGAATTGAAGGAAAACAAGGAGCCCTTCTTGCCTTTGACTTTCCTTAAAATTTCTTCTTTGTGGGGCAACTGGGTGGCTCAGTGGGTTAAGCCTCGGCCTTCGGCTCAGGTCATGATCTCAGGGTTCTGGGATCGAGCCCGGCATCTGGCTCTCTGCTCAGCGGGGAGCCTGCTTCTCCCCTCCCTCTGCCTGCTTCTCTGCCTACTTGTGATCTCTCTGTCAAATAAGTAAATAAATAAAATTTTTTAAAAAAATTCTTCTTTGTGTTCTCACACTATATCTTTTTTTTTTAAGATTTTATTTATTTATTTGACAGAGATTACAAGTAGACAGAGAGGCAGGCAGAGAGAGGAAGGGAAGCAGGCTCCCCGCTGAGCAGAGAGCCCAATGCCGGGCTTGATCCCAGGGTCTTGGGATCATGACCTGAGCCAAGGCAGAGGCTTTAACCCACTGAGCCATCCAGGCACCCCTCCTCATACTGTATCTTAAATTATGTGTCACTTGACAGAGTTTTACTGAAAACATTTCCATTGTAGAATTACATCATTAGTGCAGCAGAGTTGCAGTAACGATCAGTTTGGAATAAAACCCTATCTCATCTATTCAGCAAAACTTTGGGAAAATGATAATGGTTTTAACAGCAGCATAAGCAGATATTTAAAATCATCAAGAAAAAATTTTATAAAGAACTCCCTTTTCCCTTTGTTAGTTACACAATCATGCCTTTCTTCTTTGTTGTAAGGATATATTTAGGTGACATTTATGCTTAGGGAAAGATAAAATGGAGAAAGTAGACTAGGATTGGTTCCTTTATTTTCCTTTGTCTTTTGTATTTTCTCCAAGCTGACCAGAACTATAAAAAAAAATCTTTAGTGAATGGATATTGGGTCTTCAAGTATTAGACCACTCATGGTACTTTAAAGGATTAACCAAAGCAGATATTATACTATAATATTTAATGGCATTGTAGAAGTGTCTGATAACCCTTGGTACAAATATGTTTTTTAATTAACAACCTTTCATAGAGGAGGCAGAGGTCTGCCCTGCTAATGTGATTATTCATGCTGACTTCAGTGCTCTGGGACTAAATAAGGTCCACACAACAATTGCATAAATATTTCAAGTTTAACTCTCAGGCTAGTGTTCAAATTAAAGAACACTAGCAAAATTTAGTTTCTTTCTTAATTATTGATAGATGGTTATAATAAAACATATAAATCCCCTCTAAAAATAATTACTAAATATTAATTTCCATCATGAAAAGAACATGAGTAAACTATATTCATACTTTTCTTGGGTTTTAGTTTAAAAAAATCATCTTTTTGTTTTGGAATTTAGTGATCATTTCTGGCTGTGTCTACTCACCTTTTCCAAGAAATTTCATGTTATGCTTAGATCATTGAAACATATTTTCAGTAAAATCATAATCCTTGACTTGAGATGCTTCATAGTCTAGAAACATTTCTAATAGATACAGTTCTATTAGTGGCATGTTTTGTAGTTCATTTGGTGGTTCACAGATCATATATGTTGAAAGGCAGTAAACAATCTGATTGAGCTAGGATAATGACAGAATGGAAGTAGCAAATTCCCATAGTTGTGGCCTCCTGAGAGGATATAGTATATGAGATTTACTCACTATTTAAAGAGATGAGTCACTGATTTCTACTCCTGAAACCAATTTGCACTGTTTGTTCACTAAAATTTAAATATAAATAAACAAACAAAAGGATGGAAACTAACTAAATAAATAAAAAGATGAGGACTCCATTTTAGTCCCATAAGCCAGGAGCTCTCCAAGTCTAGTTTTGACAATGCAATTAACCCAGATACTCTGACACAAGAATTCTAAGGGAATCAGAATCCCCTTTGGGGATATGTATTTTCTTTAGCCTAAGGCCCCACCCAGCAAGAAACCTGGAAACTTATGTTCTCTGCTTTTGTTACCTAAAAACTACATGAAACATTTAAAATTGCACACAAAGAACACTATCAGATATTAACAATGGTGATGATCAAAACCTCATAGCAGATATCCAAAGTCATGGTTCTAGTCAGGTATCTACCACCCGGCATCTATTAATATGAGATGATACAACTATAAAATTATTTATTTATTCAACTATAAAATTATTTATTTATTCATTAACATATGTTACTAGGTCCCTATTATACTGTAGGTTTTGTTAACTTCCAGGAATACACAATGATAAGCAACAATTCTTGTCCTCAAGGAGTTGGCTGTCTAATGAGAGGAGAAAGGTGATTAAGTAATTATAGTGTAGAACCCAAAATGTTATAATCCTATGGGAACAAATAGAAGACAAAGAGGAACAGCTATCCTTTATAGGTTTATAGAAGTTTCTAAGAACAAATAAAATCCTAAGAGAAAATCTAAAGGTTGTGAATGAGTTAGGCAGTGTTCTTTCGGCACCAAGAAAGAAATCCCACTCAAAATAGTTCATACAATAAAAAAAAAAAAGAAACAGATCTATTACTTGATCACAAAGTGGTAAATAGAAAATGAGCTGGACTAAGGTTAACCGACTCTAAGTAGTCAAACGATGTGAACATGTGAATGTATGTATGCATGCATATATCTCAATTCTCATCTCTCTTAGACCTTTTTCATCACTTTTCTCTGATTCTTTTTGTTTTGATCTCATTGCCCTCTACTGCACACAGTCTTTCCTCCAACTGGTGGGAGATATGACAGAGGCAGCTCCAGTTTAGCAACTCCAGGAGAAAGGAACATTCCTTCTCACATTGTTGACAGTATTAGCTATGCTTGTGCCATGTGTCCACTCTCAATTAACCACTGTGGCCAGAGGAGTGGAGTCATGCTACTAGAAGACCCAAGGAGCCATACTGAATGAGTGTCAGAGGATGAATAGCTCCCCAAAAGAAACAGAAAGAGCCTTTGCAAAAGGGAAGAGTGACTTTATCAAAAGAGTGAACTAAGCAGACATGTATGACTCTTCCATCCAAAATTCCATGAGGCCAAAAAATCCAAAACTCCATAATGTTATGGATAAAAGATTTTATAACATGTAAAACTATGGATTGCTGTTTAGATGAAAACACAGCTAATACATGCAAAGAAGATGCTATGGAGTTAATGATGTTTCCGTAAGCATACCTCACTGATATGGAAATGGGAGAAAGCTTTAGAAGGAATAAAGCATGTAGGGGACTGCTTTCAGAGCAACTGCACTGTTCATCTCCTTTACCCTCTGCTGCTTGTGCAGAGCACAGGGACTCTATAGTATTTGCTCCCAAACTAAAGAAACTAGTATGGACATTGACACCAAAGAGGAGAGCAGTTCTGAAGTTTCCTGGAGAAATGATGAATATACTTTCAGTATAAGGTACTGGCACATATAATTGCCACAATTATTTTCTCTCTCCTATAGTCTCTGGCAGCAAACTTTGGCAAACAAACATCTCCAAGCAAGTGAACCAAGACCATCTAATGTAAAGATAAGCTGGAAGCCCAAAATCACCAAGCAGTTGAGAAAATAAAATCATAGATAGACATTAAACTCTATTAATAAATCAAGAATAGCTAAGGAACAGAGTTGACAGAGCAAATGGTAGAAGACTTTAAGTCTGATTAAGATTCTCAAGAAAGTTTGAAAGTTTATTGTATTCTTGAAAAAGGAACTAATAGAAATCTCGGAAATTTAAAATAAGATTTGAAAACTTTTAATAAAGTATCAGGTATAATGTTGAAATCTAGAAAAAAAAACATACTTAGAACTGTGAATTACCAATATTTACTTGAGGGGATGTAGAAAATCTTAATAGAATGATAATTACATAAGACATTGAAAAATCCAAATGTAAAAATGGCTCCAGCCTTAGAAGATTTTACAGACT